AACTTGTGCAGTTGCCTCAGTGGAGTTATTGTTTTCTCTCAGGTAAATTGTTTTATGACAGGCAGTGATTTCTTTTATTTCCAATCCTGTAAGCAAACAGCAACTACAAACAAAATTGCCCGCAAGGAAAAAAAATCCAAGAATAATAAATTCAGATGAGATGGGGGATGTGACAGAAAGCAATTCTCAGGGCAGGTTAGGCAATTATGAGAGGAGAAATGTACAAAGTTACAGAAAAAGCATTTTATTTTCTTCTTGTTTCCAGTCTTAGTTGGTTAGTGTTTGAGCCTGTCGATCTCTAAACCCAATTGGTAATAATTTAGTTACTGCCGTATATTTTGAGATGCAGAACTCTCTGTGGGAGACATTTGCTCTCTTTCCAAGGCATTCTGCAGACTTGTAGATGTATGTTCCCATCATCAGTGGTTTCTTCTAGTCACCTAACGCAGGACTGGGACAATACAGAGGCATGGACATGTCATCAAGTCCTTTTCAATTTGTAATTTTCTATTGTCTAGCAACTTGCAGCTTTGATATTTGATTGACAAGCCAAAATGCTCTTTCTCACTAAGTTCAGAAGGTGGAAAAACGTATTTGTCTGGAAAAGTATTTGTGTGTGCAAGTAAATTCTTTAAGCGATATCAACAGGTGCATTTGCATTGCAATGTCATAACATCTCTGCTATGCTCTGGCCACTTAGGCTGCCCCTTTGCTTGCCATCACTTAAGTGGATAAGAATCACAAAGCCCTGAAGCTGCAACTCTGTGATTGAACGGTACAGTTTTGAAAATGTCTTCCTTGTGGAGGAGAAGTTATGATATGAAAAGCACGAGAATTTTGATTTCCCAATAAAAACACAAAAATTTTCTTCAAAAATATTCCCTCAAATAAAGCTACAATTGTCTTTGGAACGAAAGGTTTCAAGGGGAGCTTTTAGATTGAATCAAGCCTAATCTGAGATTTGGTCTGCACATAGATATTGTGATGCTTTTTCCCTGTGTAAAGGGCTTTGAACAGTTCAAGTAAAAGGTGCTTTTAGTTGACTGTGTCTTATCAGCAGTGCAAAGGCAGAAGATGCAATTTTGTGGGCACATTTTCCTTCCGTTATTTTGGAAATGTTCCCATTTTAGTGATTTAAAACAGAACATAAAATCTCTTAAAATGAACCAATGACAGGTGTGGTAAAGGCTTAAAAAGTAACAACTACACTATCATTAGCTGTCCTTAGCTGTTAGCACGGCCTTATCAGCCGGGGAGAAACATCTGACTTGCCAGGCCTGGAAATACTGCGCAGTTGCAATGTTGGCAGCTCTCGCTCTCTAGCTAAGCCTTCAAAAGCAAAGTGAGCAGAAGGTAAAAATACAGCAAATCGCATGCAATTTATTGATGGGATATAACTGGCAAACTCTCCTTCAGAGCAATAAGACATAATACTCAAAACCTGGTACCAGCAGACTTTCCAGACAAAATGCATAGGGCCTGAAGAGCCGTTGCAAATGCAAATAGGAGATACAACTAGCTATTAGCTCCTCTAAGTAGACCTACAGAGCCAGCTCAAGATGTATTTTCCCATTCCTTCACCAAACAAGACTCTTCCATTTCCACTCAGGTTGAAAGTCAACAGGCCTAACTTTTGGCATTCAAATAAGACAGCTTAATTAGGAACTTAGTCCTCCTGTGTTCCCCCTACAGTAAAGCAGAAATATAGGCATTTCAAGAGGTGATTTACCGCACCAAGGTGGGTCACTGCCTTATGAAAAGAAAATTTCATGGATTTAGTTGAGCAGTCATTGCACGTTTCTCTTACAGAAATTGCACAGCGGGAACAGTTTAAGTAAAATGCTGCTAGGGGTCCTGAGTTCAGTGCGCTGTGTTTGCCCCTGTGGCTTTGATGAAAACAAAGAGGAGCTGCACTGAATTTGGACCCTTTTGGCCTCGGACTCCTCAACCACACTTCTCATGAGAACACTGACTTGGACTTCTAAATAGTATCTAATACAAACACCAAGTCTGGCCTGAATACACAGGACCCGAAACCTAGCAGCAACACACAGCACACACTACTGCTTGGATCTATAAATATGGTCTCCAGATACATTGGGCGGCACCCACCTAAAATTCGCAGGGCTTTGGCTGCCATTGCCAAGGATAGCTTCGTGCCACTGAGGAGCTGCGGATCTGCTCTGCAAGGACTTGTAACCAGAGCCTGGCTTTGCTGCCCGGCAAGCTCTTTGGAGCACGTAGGCCTTCTTTGGGAAGTACTTATTGCTGTTCCTGTCACTGTAACTAATCCTAATTCCCTGTAGTTTTTCTCACTTTATTTTTTTCCTTAAGGATAAACTAGTGGACATTCTTTAAATTCTTTTGTTTTAATTCTTAACAGCCAGATAGTTGTGTTGAAACACAAGGTTTTGTGGAGGAAGCAATTCATTTCAGTAGACTAGCTGATACCACCGGAAAAGCAGATAGACCTTCAGACGCGCTGAGGAGATCTGATGAAAAGATTGGAAAAATTTTCCAGTTTTTCAATGACTTCAGCCACATCTCCCTACAAGCCTTGTTTCTTTACTAACTCAACTCTTCATGAATGCAACAATACTTCTGCTACACATTTATATTCAATGTTTTGAATACTGGGGTGTTTTCTGTTTCTAATTTATCAAATTAAAAGTTCCTACGGCACTTTTGAAAATGTGGCTGAGTCTAAAACATTTAATGTCTGTAAAAAATTTTCTTATATTTTTGCACCAGTGCCTCATGTGATTTTTAAGATAACCAAAACAGATTATATGCTTCAATCTCATTATTTCCAAAGTGCTCAGGAACCTTTTAAAATTCCACAAGATATTCACATCTGTCATAAGACAAAAAAATAATTTTTGTCAGGCTACTCGCCCTATGATTTAGGACCATTTATGGACAGTTCCAAGGGGCTGAGCCCCGTAAGAATTAATGATAAGGTCAAAAGATAATTAGATGCTCTGGATTTAACTATTGAGTTATATAAACATTTTAATTAATTGTAAAAAGACAAGCAGTAGGGAAATTAAGCCTGGTAATCTGTGGAGATTAATAAAACCAGAAAAACTACTCAGTAATAACTTGTCACCACAAAAAATCACTTTCCTTGTTAGCAGTACTAACGTAATAGCCTAAAAAATGGCATATGCCACTCAGGTCCTTCCAAAATATGCTCTACTTCAAGTAAGTTTGCACTATACGTATGCCCTGACATACACCAGTGCTGTGCCTCAATGTATTAGCACTGTTAATCATGTTTATTACAGAATTGCTGAAAGTCTAACCATTTGGTTGGACATACTTCACCAGACATTGTATAAACTCATTATATATCAGAGACATTCTGCAGAGTTACAAGTGATACATGGTCAAAGCCATGGTTTAACACTGAAGGAAAAATAATAACTTCATTAATTTTACTGTTAATTCTGTCTACACCTTCTGTTACAGCTTGTAAATGTTCCGTTTTAATCTACATAGGAACTACTCACCACTTACATAGGATTGATATACCATTACCAAATTTACAGCTGTAGAGACAGGAGACCTATTTTCCTACAAAATAAATGCAGTTCACTATGGTTCTGAGCTTCTTCCCCTATTTACCATAGTGACAGGAACCTATAAACATTTTTCTTGATTCCATTTATTATGACTGGTCATTACCGGTCGTGGGACGAAATCCTGTTCTCACAGACAAACTTCTCTTATCTCACAGAACAGTTGCTTTTGAGTAATTTCTTTGGTAGTTATTACGAGTGAGAATTCTGATGAAGCGATATAAAAATACAGAAATGGTAATTTACTTAAATATATAACAATGCTTCTGTTAATTCGTTAATTTGCTTTACATCTATCAGAATAAAGATTAGTCAAAGCTAAGGTTTGGATTTAGAATCAATAATGCCAAAAAGACTTGAAGGTGTCATATTGGAATTCACAAGCAATCAGCCTCGGATACAATTCTTTTACTTGTTTGAGTTACAATCTCACAAGAACAGAGATATCACAATATCCCAGCTGGCTCTGAAATAAAATTGACAAATAGATCTTTTGACCTTTTAGCTTAAGAAACCACATAAAATTGAATGCCAAACTTGTTAAAACTAACTAAATAAGAAACTATTCTTCCTAAAATTTAGTCATTTGGAGACTATGGTTTTTTTTTCTAACTAAGCATAAGTAATCCAGTAAGCTAGTTTACATATAGTATATAGCACTTTGTTCTAAGCACAGTACTTTTTCTATTTTAAACTGTGACATCTGATTTAAAAGGTTAAGAAAGTTACGAACAAGAAATTTTCTACTACAACTCTGTGTATGGATATTTACCATTCAATTTTCAGTTCATTCATCTATGACACTCCCACCTAGTTTTAGATCTGCACAAATGCAAGTACATGTTCCATGTAACTTATATTTGCATTATGAACTAGTAATCTATACAGAAAATTTAAGTATATACTATTTTACTTCAGTGTCTTATCTTTTGTTAGTTCTTGTTGTAGCTAAAGGAAAAGAAAGTTACAGGTCTCTTTCTGCCTTGTTTTACTTTGATACTATATGGGATGAAATTATGGGTGATACATCTCCTTCATGCTTCCTTTCACTCACAGGATGAGTGTTTCTACAACTATTCCAGAACGGCCCTACAATTATGTCTCGGTCATGAAAAATTCAATCACAAATTGCAAATATTTCCCTTTAACCATCCAGCAAAATGCCACTGATTTTGTTTATATCATTATCAGCAAAGCTTAATTTGTCTGGACTGAAGTCTTAGAATAACGTGTGCAAACCCAGGAGGGAAGAATACTTTTTTTTTCTTTTTTTTTTTTTTAGCTATGCTGAGTTTTAACACAGCTCCGTTTTACTTTGAAAGCCTATGGATCCTTATGCATGCTTCTGCAGACAAGGATGGAGTATTTGTAGAATATCAGAACAATTAACTAGTGAGTACAACCACAAATGAAAATTACCTGTTGTTCAAGAAACTCTCCAGGTAGGATTTCTTCAGCCTGGAAAGCAACACTACGTCATGTCATAGCTCTCTTCTCATCATGTCACATCTCTCTTCTCTCTTCTCTCCATCTGATCAGCTGGTCTTCTGCTTGATGCATTTTCATGCAGGTCCCTGTTTTTTCTCTCCACCTCCACGACTATTCATTGGAAGATAACAGATTATTCCAGGATATTACATCCATCACAAATTGCTTCCATATCCTAGTCCAGGGAAAAATATATGTCAGGATTGTTTTATGCAAATGTTTATTGCTATACTAATGAAGAGCAGTAGAGCAGGCCTTGCAGCCTATCCCATATCTTCTCAATATGAAGGAATGTAGGTTTGACTTGTTATCTGTTAGAATAATTCAAAAAGCAATGACAAATCAACACGCTGGGGTAACTATAATTGGAGCTTCTTTACTGACAGGGAAAAGAGAGGATTTTCTAGAAGAGTAGAGCTGTACTATAACAGAAGGGGATCTTCATCTTAAAAATTCAGCAGCTGAATACGAGAGTAACTTCCATAGTAAAAGGTGACTTGACTTTCCCATGTGTATATAACCTTCCAGATCACAACTTTGGCTATAAGGGCAATATGAAGACATATCATTTTTCACTAGTAATCAGACTGTTCAACATCCTTCATTCAGATGTGCATGAAAGGAAAATGAATAGGAAGAACAATTTATACAAACATATTTTAAACACAATTGATATTTTATACAAATACAATTAATCTTAGCTACGCCTTCTGATCTTCCGGTTGCCATAGTGAAATAACATTGCTTTGGTTTGTCATTAGTGCTGCTAAAATAAACACTAATGTATTTTTAAGAGTTGTACTGATAGTAGAAGACATTATACCAGAATAAGAATGGATAGTCATTTAGGCAAATCAAAACAAGCAAGGCTTTCCTATACTGTGAAACAAGATTTTACACAAGTAGATTGAAAACTCTACTCTTTTAAAAACTTTATCCTTTATCCTAACTTTATCTACTTGTTTGAAGAATCCATTCAAAAATGGAGTCACTAAAGATGCTGGTGACAAATTGCCTATATTCAAATTCTAAGAAGAGGGAAAAATCACACACAGACGGAGGACAGGAAAAATAGACTGTCAAATAACTAAGTAGATCAACATATATCAGCTGAAATAGAATTAAACAGTGTGAAAACGTCCTCTGAACTCAGTATCATCTGAAACTTTTAATTTGGACAGAACACACCTGTGGCCAAGGCATCAGTAGCTGGAAATGTGTATTAGGAAGGGCAGGTTGGGAAACCACGCTAAACTCAGTGACGCTAATGAAAAATAAGGAATTGTCTTACAAGTAAACCAGAATCCTAATGGAAGCCAGTTAGCTGCCATAAAAATTGGGCACTTGCTTCTTCATTTGTTTAGATTTTATGCCACACTAGTCACCAACCTAACTAAATTGACTGAATGATCATCCATTATCAGAGAAATAGGACCACAGGAGTCCCAGATTCTGAGAGTGCAGTTGTCCACAATGAGTGGAAGCAAATGTACTATAAACAGTCAAGCAGGCAAAAATGGTAAGAAACAGTAAGTCATTTCAACAGTAATAAAGCTTGGTGAATACAGTGACATAACTCACTGAAATCAATCTTAAAATTAAAAATAAGAGAGAAGGGTCCTTACTGCGTGGACATTCTGTGATCTATTTAGCACTTGCAGACGTTTTCCAAACTGCTCAACCAGAATTATGTGTAACAAGTTGTTTATATTTACATTGGAAGAAGGTGGCTGATTCGCTTTGGCACATGTCCACTTTAGCTAGATAGGAAAAAGATTTTGACAGTAAAAACTTTAATAGTACAGAGGTTGAATCAGTTGTAGTTGCTGTCCCATCCGCATTTGGGAGTTTGCATATAACAGTTACTTTGGCATCTAAAAATCCATTTAGCTCTTATTGTCCTTTTCATTATCTTCTCTCTCATGGTCTTGAGATGATCATTTTTTTTGCAATATTAGCAAAGTTTTCATTTGTTCGGATTCATTTAACAGGGAGCATTTTAAAACATACTATTTTCCAGTATGCCATATTAAAGTATTATCCAAACACTATCAAAGACACAAATAATATACTGATATAAAGATTCTTCTTATTTTACCATTGTTAATAAGCACCAAATTCTTAGCTTATGTGTCTAGAAATACTTTTTGACAGTGCAGATCTTTATTCTTTCTCAACTTTCACTGTTCTGATGATAAGAACAAAATAAATTTCCTGAAAAACAAAAAGATACAGTTCTCATTAGTTTTTGAGTATCATAAAACTACACCAATAATTTCCACCTAACAGCAGTGAAGCTTAACGCTGATACTAAGCAAAGTGCCATTTTAAGCTTTCAAGACTTGTTCCTATGCTGTAAAGGGAATTAATCAAAAATGTGCTAAGAACTAGGTACCAAAATCTGAAATAGCTTACTCTATACTGACTATATTTCTAGTGTAATCTCTTGTACTTTTTCAAAGGGTGAAAATGAATCATTCTTTCTCTTGTATGTGTTTATATTAACTCATAAACCTGTAATACATGGTTTAAAGACAAAGTTATGCTAGAGTATTCATTTGATTTGGTCCAGCAGCCAAGCATAAATGTTGGATGTGAATCTTGTCAAGATGCATAAAATCACAGACTCACAGAACAGTTGACATTGGAAGGAACCTCTGGAGATCAGCAAGTCCAACCGCCCTGCTCGGAGCAGGGTCAGCTAGAGCAGGTTACTCAGGGCCATGCCCTGTTGGACATGCTTCTTAAAAAGAAAAAGAAGTCCAATGACAATTCTTCTGTATTTTAGATCATTTCTTCTGTATTCTTTCATTCTGTGAAAGAATAGTCCAGAATGGTTCATCTCCTACAGCAGAGATTCAATGGAAAAACTCTCACTGATACAACTTTGCAATATGCTTTAGTCTGAAGAACTTTTCTGCTCTTTAATATCAGGGTTTTCATATAAATTTGGGATTCCTTCATTTTTGTCACTGAAAATTGTTTAGAGTAGAAAATAGGGCTTTTGGAATTGAGATTATACAGTTAAAACATGAGATAAAAATCTCTTCAATTTAAAGGTTGCTGCATGAATAGTTTTTGATTGTCACACTGACTTTTTTGCCTTCCACCGCATTTCAGATTGAGTCTTGACAGGTGCAAAGGCAAGTTCCCTGCCTTCAGCAGAATCAGGGTTTGGCACGTAGTGACAAAATAGACCAGCAAATAATAACATAGCTGGCGCTTTGAGAAGATGAAAAAAACCCTATGTCTTTAATAGATGTCAGACACTGACTGTCAAATTTATTCATCAATTTTTTAAATATATGGATTGTATAACTCTTAAATTTTTAAGGTTTTTTTTATTTTTTTTCCATGAAACTGCTTAGAACAAAATTTTTTGGGGGCAGCTGGGGCTATTGAACACTTCACTGAAGTGTTGCATTTATTCTGAAAATGTGAAACACCTTTGTGAAATAGAGACAACAAAGGGAAGAAATAAGGATGAGCAATTCTGGTAGTGATTTCAACTGACTCAGGACTTAGCACTGTCAAAGGCAAGAGTGTATAACACCAAGCATGCTCCCCAGAGTCACTGCTCAGCTTGAGCATCAGGAGACCTGTGCCTTTACTGTGTGCTCTGTATTTACGAAATACAGTGGACCATACTCTACAGTCAGTTTCACTAGATCTTGAATAAGGCCATTGATCATATATTATTTGCACCAATTTAGCTGATGGCAAATTTTGGAGCTTTATCAGGTGGCTTCTGATTAGCCTTACCTGACTTTCTCATAGACTGACAAAGGCAGCAGATAACAGCTCCAACAGGAAATGATACATTTCCTAGGCCTAGAAATCAGATAGCAAAATTTGCCTGATTTTGATACCAGACGTATCTTAGACTTATACCTTAAGATCAGGATTTGATTTTCCTTGGTTTGTATTTTTAATAACGAGGGAACTGTGCAGTCACAACATCCTGTCCTCAAAAACACACACATCTCATCTATTATACAAACAGAGAAGGACAGAAGAGTCATTTAACATTATAATCACATAAATGTGTCACTAGCTCTAAAGAAGAATGCCTGACTGAAGGCCAAGAATGCTTTTATTTCCAGGGACGATAAGGTGCTTCCTTTTAAAAACTGCTTTAAACTCTTGAATCAACTGAAACACACTTCTGGCAACCACTCCGGAATTGCTTGCCGCTGGATTTCAACACCAGCACAATGCCTTTCCCCCTTTCATGGTGCCTGTGAGTATTCACACACAGCTAAGATGCTGTTTGGGTAATCACAGAACAGATTGAGTCGGGAGAAGGAAGAAGGATTCCCTAGCACAGCTAAATATAGATGATATGGCACCATGTAACACACGGAGAGGTTTTGGGGATGCGCTTTCCCAGCATAACCCAGTTATGGCTCAGTTATTGGGCTGAGAGCTCTTTATAAGGCCAAGAGTCCTTATTTGCGTGCACACTGCTGTCACAAATGGGAAGGGCATCCTGAGCGACTACGATACAGGTAATAAAGTTACTCATTTGCATTAACACTACTTAACAGGTGCAAGTTTTGCTAAAGGGGATCCCGCAATAGCACTGCATCTGAATCTCACTCAGAAAACGCACGCGCACACAAGGAAACTAAATCTCTTGGTTACCCAGCATTTGAATGTAGGCAGCGTTACAGAAGTGTATCTGAAAGGGCAATTATAATTCTGACTGCCAACACTAAAAGTCCTTCCCACATTGGCAAACATCCATTGACATTACTCCAAAGCAGGGAGTGAAGGGTTACACGGAGGAGTCACTGAAGACATCGAGAGGATTGTTTCTGCGGACTAAGTGCTTCCATAGCGTAGTGCATTCATTTTAACCATTTCAAAGGCATATTTGCCCTTCTATCCTGTAGTTTTAGGTGTTGAACTAATAGCTCAGAAAGAAACAGTCCTTGGAGGAAAATATCCTATGGAACAACAGTTTCCTGTTAAGATCTTGCATTTCTTCTACTAAAGAGAAGTCCAAGCAGAGGACCAGCATGGACCATGAGGGCAGTGTGCTGCACACAGCCCCTTCCCTTTTGCCTATAAAATTGGTGATTTCAAGGACACACAACAGCCTGAAAGAGTCATGACTTGTGATACCTCTACAAATTAGTATCTCTGAGGGCCGTAAGGCAA